TGAGGAGATACAACTTAGCAGTACTGGGAATCAGCGAAACCCACTGGACCCAAGCTGGACAGAAAAGGCTAGCTACGGGAGAGATGCTGCTATACTCCGGTCACGAAGAGGAAAATGCTCCACACACTCAGGGAGTCGCTCTTATGCTGTCCAAAGTAGCACGAAATGCACTTGTAGGATGGGAATCTCACGGATCCAGAATCATCAAAGCATCATTCAAAACAAAGAAGGAGGGGATCTTAATGAATATTATCCAATGTTATGCACCCACCAATGATAGCGACGACGACATTAAAGATCAATTCTATGAAAGGCTGCAATCAATTATAGAGAAGTGCCCAAGAAACGACCTCACCATTCTGATGAGAGATCTAAATGCCAAAGTCGGAATAGACAACACCGGGCATGAAGATATTATGGGACGACATGGACTGGGACAGAGAAACGAAAATGGAGATTGATTTGCAAATCTGTGTGCATTCAACAAATTGATCATAGGAGGCACAATATTTCCACACAAGCGTATACACAAGGCTACATGGATCTCACCGGACCACACTACAGAGAACCAAATAGATCATATTTGCATCAACAAAAAATTCCGAAGGACAATGGAAGATGTGAGAACCAGGAGAGGTGCTGACGTAGCTTCAGATCACCACCTAGTTGTAGCCAATTTAAAACTGAAGCTAAAAAAGAACTGGACAAGTGGACAAACAGCAATACAAAGGTTCAATACAGCCTTCCTTCGAGATACTGTCAAACTCAATGAATTCAAGATAGCTCTCAACAACAGGTTCCAAGCCTTACGAGATCTACTGAAAGAAGAAGAAACTACTATGGAGGACAACTGAAAAGGCATCAAGGAAGCATTAACTTCAACGTGTCAAGAGGTTCTCGGTCTAAAGAAATACCATCATAAGGAATGGATCTCTACAGAAACAGTGGACAAAATCAAAGAAAGGAAGAACAAGAAGGCAGCAATAAACAACAGCCGAACACGAGCAGAGAAAGTTCAAGCACAAGCTGAATACATCGAAGCAAACAAACAAGTGAAGAGGAGCATTAGAGCCGACAAGAAGAAATACGTGGAAGAACTAGCAACGACGGCAGAAAAAGCTGCTAGAGAAGGAAATATGAAACAGCTTTACGACACAACGAAGAAACTATCAGGGAAATACAGTAAACCAGAGAGGCCGGTCAAAGACAAAGAAGGCAATCCAATCACCGAAATTCAACAACAACGTAACAGATGGGTAGAATACTTCGAGGAACTCCTGAATAGGCCGGCTCCAATGAATCCACCGGACATCGAAGCAGCACACATAGATCTTCCTATAGATGTCAATCCACCAACTACGGAAGAAATTAGAATGGCCGTCAGACAAATCAAGAACGGGAAAGCAGCAGGACCTGACAACATACCAGCTGAAGCACTGAAATCAGACATCGAAACAACCACAAGCATGCTTTACCCTCTATTCAAAAAGATTTGGGAGAAGGAACAAGTGCCGATGGACTGGAAAGAAGGACACCTCGTCAAGATTCCAAAGAAAGGAGATCTGAGCAAATGTGAAAACTACAGAGGCATTACACTACTGTCAATACCAGGGAAAGTCTTCAACAGATTGTTGCTGAAACGGATGAAAGATGCAGTAGACGCCCAACTTCGAGATCAACAAGCTGGATTCCGTAAGGATCGGTCGTGCACAGACCAAATTGCAACACTACGGATCATCGTCGAACAATCAGTTGAGTGGAACTCATCACTATACATCAACTTCATTGATTATGAAAAGGCATTCGACAGTGTAGATAGGAGGACAATATGGAAACTTCTTCGACACTACGGAATTCCTGAGAAGATTGTCAATATTATCCGGAACTCATACGACGAACTACAGTGCAAAGTAGTGCATGGAGGACAGCTGACAGATGCATTCCAAGTAAGGACCGGAGTCAGACAAGGCTGTTTACTCTCTCCCTTCCTCTTTCTTCTGGTGGTCGACTAGATTATGAAGACCTCAACATCTGAAGGAAAACACGGAATACAATGGACAGCTCAGAACCAATTAGACGATTTGGACTTCGCAGATGACCTAGCCCTCCTATCACGCACACACGAACAGATGCAGATGAAGACAGCCAGTGTAGCAGCAATCTTTGCATCAGTAGGCCTCAGCATACATAAAGGGAAAACCAAGGTCCTCAAATTCAAAACGAAGAACAGCAATCCAATTACTCTTGATGGCGAAACTCTGGAAGATGTAGAATCCTTCACATATCTGGGAAGCATCATCGATGAACAAGGAGGTTCAGATGCAGACGTAAACGCGAGGATCGGCAAAGCAAGGACAGCATTCCTACAATTGAAGAACATATGGAACTCAAAACAACTTTCAACCAATATCAAATTCACAATCTTTAATACGAACGTCAAGGGAGTTCTAATTTATGGAGCTGAAACTTGGATAACTACAACAACCACAATCAAGAAAGTACAAGTATTTATAAATAGCTGTCTTCGCAAGATACTCAACATCGATTGGCCGGATATCATCAGCAACAGCCTTCTGTGGGAGAGAACAAACCAACTTCCAGCTGAAGAAGAAATTAGGAAAAGACGATGGAAATGGATAGGACATATATTACGCAAATCGTCAAACTGCATCAAGAGGCCAGCCCTAACTTGGAATCCTGAAGGGAAGCGAAAAAGAGGAAGGCCAAAGAACACATTGCGTCGGATAATAGAAGCAGATGTGAAAACGATGAATTGCAACTGGACGGAGCTAGAAAGGATTGCCCAGGACAGGGTTGGATGGAGAACGCTGGTGAGCGGCCTATACTCCTTCACGAGGAGTAACAGGCGTAAGTAATAGTTTTTTTTCTTATTTGATAGATGATTCCTAATAAAACCAAATTCAGATACAAACTTCTTAAATCTACGAATTGTTGAAACATAGAAAATATGACTATTTTCTCTGAGACTTTCATAGAATAAGCCAAGTTAGAATCTTAGTGAAATACTAAGGCACATGACTTCGTAAAGGCAAATAAATTATAGTGAACGAGAACACAAGTGGAAGCCAATCGAATGTATTTGTATTTAAAACTACAGAACACCTTAGTAACACCTGAGAACCATACAGTAAATACTTAGTTTGCAAAATATCAAACAACTGTCTCAAACTTGACTATTCCTTTCATCTCAGACGTCATTGTTCCTGCATTATCATACCAATTGCTTTCTGTTCCCGTTCTTTCCTTCTCGATCTTCAGCTACCAGACATTCTAATCCTGTTTATCATTACATACTACTTATGTCGATATAAGTAGCACACATCACAGAACTACTTTGTTCACATTCACAAATTCTAACATTTAAATATATAATCCTTAAATCACAAAAATAAAACTTTAGAATCATTATGTATTAACGGGTTTATAGCTTTTCACTCAGAACATATTTTGTATATTTGACATTACTTCTGTGCTTTTAATACAGTGTTTATGAGGCATAAGTTTGTAAATAAAATAATCTATGTATCTCGTTATATAGTTTTTTTATCTATTCAAGTTATGTGTCGGGTAATTTACTAAGCACACTTCAAATGTCATGAACAGACAGAATGGATAAAGTTCTTCAGTTTTCCTCTTCATGAATTTTAATTGTATATAGGTAGGTGGGCATAGTACATTATCTCAACATATGAGTTAAACATCAAAACTTGTAACAAAAGAGTTCTAGTTTGTTTTTTCATTAAATATGAATGTTAGTTAGTAAAAGATTTAACAGAGTTGTAAACGTTCGACATAACTTCACTGATACACCCTTTATTTTTAACTACAGTTGTCTGTCAACAACTTTGAGCAGTGGATTCCTGTACCTCAGATGACAAAACAGGAAAAAATATCCATCAAATATGAGTCAAATATCTTCACTATTTTTGCCAATATATCTCAAGATTTATGACAAAGTGTCTTATGATTTCAGTATTGTGGTCACCATAGTAAGTGGGTGTTTAGACCGGATCATGTTTCCCACAGTTTTTCAAGAATTTATCTTAAGCGGATCGTCTGTGATTTAAACCAATGTATACCCCATAAACTACATCTGTTTTGTTTTGTTTAAGAGTACTCCATTAGATTACTGACTGGACTAGATCAAGTTTAAAAATAAACCTTTTATTAGGATGACGTCAATAACTAATGCTGAACAATCCTATTTAGAGTTAATTGTGCTTAGATGTAAACAAAGATATATTGGATTACTATTTTGAGAACTTCATTTATTGACTTCTGACATATAAGCAATGAAAATAAAATCACTAGAGAGCTATTTTTTACCACTTTGGAACAAAATACATCATAAATCACGCTTGCTATTGAACTTTGAACATTTTGACCTCCTATAAGGAACATCACCTTCAGACTATTGAATCGTAATCCAGCGATTCAGATTTTCAGTTTTAGTCAACTCGTGATATTACCCAACTGCCATTCACTGGAATTCATGATAGTTATTCCCCTCCAACATTGTGAAGCTTCATCAATTAAACTTTTCATTTTTCTCGATGTCATTCATTTGTAGCTAATGAATGAAGTTCAACATTCTTAACACAATTGTTTTTATTCAGATTAGTATAAAACTATTGTAAATGAAAACATGAAGTAACAAATAACTAAACGAACTAGACTCCAATTATCCGATTTAGCTTATCAATGCTTAGTATTATTGACGGACTTACAATTTGTGCTAGACGAAATGTGCTATTACAGCGCATTATCCGACTGCATCATAAGTTTTGTAAGTAGATTAACATTTTGGAATTGGATGACAAAATTTATTTAAATTCCAAACAGAGACTTTTTTATTTGAATACAGAATAGAAAATAATATTTTATGCTCTGAAACTAAATGAAGTGAACTTTGTTCTCAATTTATAAAGAAAGAAAACAAATCAAAGTTTTCAAAAAGTACACTCAATTGCAAGAGGAAATGTAGCTCTCTTTTTAATTACAGGATTATAAAATAAGGCTTTGAGTCACAGTTTGTGGGAGACCCAGCAATACTATCCATTTGTGCAAACTAAACAAGGTGGAGCAGGATTCCAAGGAACAAAATGATAACGGAAAACACCATGATTAGTTGAATGAATCCTTCCAAAAATTATTTTATCAATAAATAATCGCAATACATATTTTTCACTTACCAGTTTGTTGTAGAATCGATCCCACGATCAAGTGACTGACGCCATAAAGATAACCAGCGAGATTTATTTTTTCTCTCTGTCGTTCCAGACCTACGATTTGAAGTTATTGAATTTGTATCATATAGTCCTGTACTGTTAATTGTTTGATAAATATTATAAGAATTATTATTGTTACACAATGAACTACATGTAGCCCATTGCCTTTGCAATTTTCTTTTTACATTTAATAAATCAGTTGATGTAGGTTTATTTCTCATTTTCACATCACTTGTATTTTTTCCTGATGACATTGTGGTCGATGTTGTAGTTGTCATCAATTCATTTGTAATAAATGATGTCAATGGTATTGCACGATTTCCTGATAAACTTTCAAAAGATACATATGATGATTTATTACTTGTTAGTCTTGATGTTAAAGCCGATGAACTATCATCATCTGATAACTTATTCCAATGTATATTATTATTTGTTTCAGAAAATGATGTAGAAATTATTCTTCGACTAAATATTTTCTTTATTGAATTACATGATCTTTTCAAATTATGATTAACTGTTACATCATAACCGCTTGTTGTGTTGATTCCTTTTATTTTACGTATAATATTATCATTTGTATTATTTACATTATTATTGTCAACACCTTTCATATTCATTCCTATACTATTATCATCCGTATCAAATGAATTTGATATAAGCTGATGCATATATTATTTGACTATATATTTAAGTGAACAATGATTGAATAAAGAAAGATTAAAATATAATTTTCCCAATCATTTTATATTCTTTTTTTTGCAATTCAAAGCATAGTTGTTTGATTAAATAACAAAAATTCATTTTTAATTGTTTGAAATTATGAAATAAATGGAAAATAAATTCTATTGGTTATTGAATGACATTGATTTCTATTGGTCAGTTTGATGAATATCTTTAAAATAAATATATTTGTTTAAATAGTTGAATTCATGAGTTTATTTAAACTAGACTAAACTTGGTAGTGTAGTCGTGGTGCGTGCTACTTATATTGACATAAGTAGTAAATGACGCGAGTCAGGAATGTAATGATTGGCAGAAGAAGATTGGGAAGATCAAGAAAGGAAGAATGGGAATAGAAAGCAATTAGTATAGAAATGCAAGAACAATGAATTCCGAGACAATTATTGAACATTTTGCAAATTAGGTATTATAGTATGGTTTTTCTATTTTAGCAAGTAACTCTGTAGTGTTGTGCTAAGTATAATTCGGTTGTCCTCAGCTGTGCTCATGAGTAGTGTAGTGACTTTACTTTGTTAACCAATCAACTTGATAACGGTTATTATATAAATCTTAATAGAGCTTGGAAACAGAAAGCAATAAGAAGTGGCAACTACAATTTATTAGCGGATATCACAGATCACAAAGTTATAAGCACATCAAGCGATTTGAAACAGAGAGGAGGATTTATGTATATATATATGAAAGCAAATACAGAGGTGAATTTATAGTCAAATCGAATAAGGGCATAGTGAGGCGAAGCAAAGACTAATAATAGGATTTGAGTACATATATACTTGGGGAAGAGAATGAATCATTGATCGATATTTAAGGGATCAACATTTTAGCTAGGGAGATTTGTGTGTTGGCTGTCATGTGATCAAGAGTACACATTTATACAAACAAGATAGTAATCATAATAGCACAAAGAAATATGCAAATTGCTACTGTTTGAATAAGATTTTCTGTTAAGTAAATATAAAAGTTTAACAAAATTTAACCATAATCGAACTTGATTATAGGAGAGTTTCTTTAGTAGACTGGTTTCAGTTGCAATTAAACTCAACTTGATTTCGTAATTGTGGCAGTTTTCTTAGCGACTAATCAGAATGAAGCGGAAATTATCATATTCTCGATCATTGTAAGCAATGTTGTTTGGCTTATCTCGTCCTGATTTTTTTCCCCTGTTTCTTTTGTGTAGCCGCATAATCATCACCCGTTAATATTAGCATCGAGTTCAAAGGTCAAACTTTCCAACTAGATTCTTGTGACATTTCTTTCTGACCGAGTTCGTAATTAACACGTGATCAAAATTAAACATTCACTTGATGGACATTTACGTAATCGTCATAAAGCATTGTCCACAAAAGAAGTAAGTCATAAGTTAAAATGTAACTTTACGACTATATTGAATTATAGACACGTTATTTCGTAACCGCACTTCTTTCGGAAAACTTGAACTACTGGATTTAAATTCATTGGTTAACGAAGTAAAGTCACTACACTACTCATGAGCACACCTGAGGACAACTGAATTATACTAAGCACAACACTACAGAGTTACTTGCTAAAATAGAAAAACCATACTATAAGAACTCATTTACAAAATGTTCAATAATTGTCTCGGAATTCATTGTTCTTGCATTTCTATACTAATTGCTTTCTATTCCCGTTCTTCCTTTCTTGAACTTCCCCCATCTTCTGCTTCCAGACATTACGTTTTTAACTGGCGTCATATACTACTTATGTCAATATAAGTAGTATACACCACAAGAATTCTATATTGTACGAAGAATATAAGATCGAGTAAAACCATTAATAATAATGATTATTATCAACTAAAAACTAAATGGAACTAAAGTGGTTTCATTCTAAATGTTTTAAACACACGAAGTCATAGCTCAAAGTGTCCACTTAAAAAGGCGATAAATTCATCTTTTATTAAAACTATTAAAAACTGCTTCAAGTTCCATGGTGATATATATATATATATATATATATATATATATATAGAGAGAGAGAGAGAGAGAATGGGGAGAAGAGGTGAGAGAGGGTACAGAATGAAGTGAATTTACTTCATTTCATTTTAAAAAATATTTCAATTCATAATTTAGTCAATACTTATGATTGTTATTGTTTGTTGAAAATACATTCATTCATTACAGATGAAAATGAAATGTTTGTTGTTTACGAAATTTAAGGGAAGTTTAAGTAACATACCGTTTAGATGTCTTATTGCACAACCTCAAAATATAACATTTGTTTCGTGTTATAACTCTTAATTTTCTGTAAGACTATGATTATAAGTTTGAAACATCAAGCAACCTGGAAAATAATAATCTCAAACAATCTCGTTACAAACAAATAAACTTGCTAATCATGATAAAGTATAAATTCATTTGGTATTGTTTGCTTGTATCTTCCCATTGTTGTTTAGGACTACAATTAATCAGTCTCTTGTTGGTATATGTGCAGCCTGTGCAGATTGCCTCGGTATTGCGTTAAGTTACTAGCTTTTTGGGAAAAGTTGGATAATGGCTAACAGTGGAATCCAGGACATGCATTTCATCCTATTCGGGACTCCTCAGCTACATGTATCTGCAAACAATACCAAGTGGATTTAAACGTCACCCAAATGCACAAGCAGGTAGCTATCAAGACTCAGTAGCTAAGTGAATAACGTGATGGAGTTTGAAGCGAACGATACGGGGTTCACGTTTCGTGATGAACATCAGGTCTGAGATACAGGTACATCCGGCTGACGAGTCCCAAATAGGACGAAACTCGCGTCTTTGATTTGAATCAAAATTAGTTACTTGATTATACATGTAATGTGGTTATACATTCATACCCATTTAAGTGTATTTTAAATTACAGTTAGGAAAAGTAATCAACAACTGTGTTGAATATGAAGTTTAGATAAACGTTTAATTTATGAATTCATTTGGTTGAAAGTTAAGTTGATAACTTCAAAATAACTAGACTAGACCGAATCATTTTATCTCTTAGTTTATTGTTAAATTAGTCATACAGAAACTTTCTACTAAATTTTATAATTTTCGAACTCTAGAATAAGTTGTGAAAATGTCATCAAGCAATTTTCAACTTCAATGTAAGGTGAATTCTTCACTACGTATGCAACTACTTCATAAACTTACAAGTAGTCAGTATATAAGTAACACAGTTGGTTAACTAATATCTACTTATATATTTTCTTGTCATTCAATAGTACATATATAAAGGTTTCTGATTAAAATATAAAATTTAAAATAAACTATCAAACTGAAACAATTCCAACCTCGAAATAAACAAAAATGGAATACAACACAAACAAATCAAATTCATGGTTTATTTTAATTAACGACAGTAACAAAAGTTAAAAATTCAGTTATGTCGTATAATAATTCTTGTCACAAAATAATAACAGAGTTAAAATGAAACATACTAAGGTTTCTTATCAAAAGGCGGCTTTGTGAAGTTTTTAGTAATTTAGTAGTTGAAATTATGAGTCAATTGAAGCTAGACCACCATGGAAAAGCTGGAAGCACTGGACGGCCGTTTCATCTTATTGTGGGACTCCTCAGCAGTACGCATCCACGATCCTTTCCGTGGGATTCGACTTATTAACTACTAAATTACTAATAATCATCATGTGCCCACTAGTGACTGGCATTAAGAGGCATTTCTTGGATTTGTAGTGAGAAACCGTGACAAGTGGAGTTCAACCAGATCTGTTGTAAGATGGTAACTAACTGAAGACATTGGTTGATGGTGGCTCAATTTCGTGAATTGTCCGACGTTATACATTAGGGCGGTTGGATATCGGCTCAGTGGTCTACAGGTTGAGTATTCACGTGCGAGACCGACAGGTCCTGGGTTCGAATCTTACGAGCGAGATCGTGGATGCTCACTACTGGTGAGTCCGTCTGGTGCTTCAAGGTTTTCCATAGTGGTCTAGCTTCAATTGATTCATAATTTCAACTATTAAAATTCTTAGATTTCCTAGTCGACTTTTTCTAGAAATTTCCACTTAAAAAATAAAGAAATACATCGAAAGTAGTATATTATTTCTTGAAATGTATACGGTTTCGTTTAAGAAACTAATTTAATTAAGGATAATTGTAGTTTAATGAATGTACTTGTGACTGAAATAAAATTTCTTCTAATCTATTTTCATAGTTAACTATTGACTAAATGTCTGACCTATTTTTAAAATATCAAAAATATACTCCCTTGAGTGAAATATAAGATGAAGTAATAATTAGTTGAATTCATGTTTATCTCATGAGGTTTGCATTAACTATTTACAAACTAACTACATAATATAACACTGATAACTATTAATTGTACTATCTTTTCAATAGACCTTTTCTTTAGAGATAGAAAAGATAAATGTTGGAACTATTATATCATCATGAATTCAACTGTTAAAATACTGTTATCTCCACACATCCCAATACTGATACTAAATCATATGCTCACTAGTGACTAGCTTTAAGATTGACTTCATGGAGTTTTAGTGAAGAGCTGAGACCAGTAGTGTCCACTCCGTGTCGGATGGAGGCAGTTATTCACCTCAGACAATTCATGAAGGGCTATGCAAAATCATGAGTAGATTAAAGTTGGATATTAACACCGTTATATGCCAAATCAGTGGTCTATAGGTTAAGCGTTCGTGCGCAATACCAAAGATCATGAGTTAGAGTCCAATGTGTGTTATCGTGGATGCGCATTGCTAAGGAGTCCTATACTAAGACGAAACGGTCATCCAGTTTTTCCAGGTTTTCAATGGTGGTCTGACTTACATTGACTCATGAATTCAACTGTTAAAATAACTACAAATCCCCATTCCAAGAACTATCATAATAGGAATTGGGACGAGAATGAAGAGTAGAAATTTAAGGAAAATTCAAATATTGGGTTACAATGAAAAAAATACTTTCAATGACTTGCAACAAAGACTAAATAATGAAGAATCTGGGTACAAAACGCTTAGTTATCTTTTATTCATCACCAAATGATACAGCATGAATAAGATTTTTATTTCAACAAACTGTAAATAGTAAAGTGG